CCCCTCCCCAAGCCCCCCATCTCCCCCAGCCCACCAGCCCCCGGGGTACCAAGGTGGCAATCTTAACTTTTCAGCTCCTCAATGCCAAATGGAGCCTGGGATGCTGATGCTTGTCCAGCTGGAGACCCACTGCCACGCGCCCAGACACCACGGGGATGGGCGCTGGGGAGTCCCACTCGCAGCCCAACGCCAGGAGCCCCAGACCGACTCCCCAGCAAAGCGGTGGGTGACATCCCCAAGGAGGGGACGAGCCAGCAGCTCTGCCGGACCCACGCCTGGCCAGAGGAAAATAGGTCAGGCCTGGCAGCTCACAGCGCTGGTGTCTGATCGCAAGGCCGGTGGGGAATTGCACGCTAACCGGCCCCCGGCTCGCCCCAGCTGCCCCCAGCCCTGCCACCGGCCCCTGTGCCCTCCTGTCCCCGCTTCCAGACACAGCAGGAAAACAACGGGGAGACGTTTTACAGATGCCCCTTGGATATCCCCAACCTCCCAACCCGCTAACCCTGCGATTCCAGCCCCGACCAGGTTTTCCTTCCAAGTCCCGTCCACGGAAGGCACGAGAGTGATGGAGACGGCAGCTCTCAATTCAAAGAAGTGTTTCTCACCCCCACATTTGTGGGGAAACTCTTGAAAACAACCCGCAGATGCCAGAAGAAACAGAGCGCAAACAGACGAGGTATTTTTAAACCCACTTGATTTTCCCAGCCAAGTTCGGGGGGGGTTCAAGGCTCAGCCTGTGGTTTGGAAATAGGGTCAAGATCAGGGAGCCGCATCGGGGATGTTAACCCCAAATCCCTCCTCGGTGCGGGAGCTCAGGCAAAGCTGGGGGAATGCCTCGTAAAGAAAAACAAGTAATCAACAGGCTTCGTCATCCAAGCAGATCCAGGAAAAATAAAAGCATGCCGCGTGCCAGGAGGCGAGAATACAAGATGCGGAGGTGGAGTTGAACAGCATCCCAAAGGGAGAGGAGGGAAGGCTGCCACCACGCAGAGACGGTGCCATGGTGGGGCTCCCCAGGAGTGCGATGCTGAGGCTGGGAAGACCCTCACCCGGCTCTGAGCATCCAGTTCCTCCCATCCCGACAGCAGAGACAGAAGGCGACGACGGGATTCGGTGAAGCTGGTGGTACCCAGCATCTCAGGTGCCCTCGCTGAAGTGGGACCATTCCTACAGAGGCTTCATGAGAAGGACGCGGCTGTGGCAGAGCAGGTTTCCAAATGAGATAGCACTGCACCTCGGCTCACAACGGGGATAAACACCGATCCCGCAGCCAAGGGACAATGGCAAAGAGCCCAGAAAGGCTGCCCTGCCCCAGGGTCAGAGGGGATCTCCTCCTGACCCACCATCCCAGGCGCTCATCCCCATCCCTGTCCCCCCACAGGGACAGCCGAGGGAGCAGGCACGATGCCCCGAGCCCGTGGACCTCTCCTCCCTGCTGAGCAGAGACGAGATCTGCTCTGACACATCCCACTCGCATCGGCGGAGGCGGGATATGGCGGGGATCTCTGAGGACAAGGCCACCGGCACAGCATATGGAGGCCGGCGGGGAAGGAGAGCAGGCAGGGCAGCGATCGCAGCCTGGGGAGGGGGGACGGAAAACGGGGACCACCCGCCGCAGAGACCCAGGCTTCCAAAGCAGTGCATGGGATGGGGACAGAGCCACCTGCCCCCCACCTCCTTTCCCCCCCTCCCAACAGCTTGGTGGGGGCTGCACCCCCACTGCAAGCTCAGTACCCCTCTGCCCGTCTCGGGGTACCCACAGCCCCCCCGAGAGCATCCGCCTGTGCCCTGGCAGGGGTGCAGCCCCGGGGGAAGCAGGAGCGCAGCCCTCAGCCCCCTCCCCCAGCTGGAAAGCAGCATCTGGGCTTTACAGCGCGATTCCTGCGTTTTAAACCGGATTTTCCAGATGGATGGAGGGCGATGCGCAGGTCAAGTGACGTGCCTCAAGGTCATGCGGGGCCGGCGGAGGAGCGGGATTAGCGCACCCCATTCACGGCACAATGGTGCCTTCCAACCCTGTCCCCGGGGACAAGGGGTATCCTGTGGGACCACCGACACCATCCTCGCACAGGCAGGGGGGGGGCCCCGGCCCCCCCCCGGGG